AGCAGTAAATATTCATCATTATACAGAGTGATGCAATATTACCGAAATGTACATTGTCTGCACAAAACACATACTTTAGCCACTTTACACCCTTGGAACAACTATGTACTTTCTGAACAAGCTAACTTTAAAGGTGGTTGACCTCCCACAGTACATATTCAGTTTCCCACAGTGAACAGGTTTATTTTTGCGTAATTTCAGATTTCAGTATAGGTTTTGTAATATGCATACCGTGAATTTTCTTCTCGTGTCTCATTCAAAAAAGTGCCCATATAAAATTTCTGATCTGTCATGAAGCTGAGATATTACAGCAGTTGAGTTTTGCACCGTCACAGGCACTACAAGTTTGATACCAAAGAACTAGGTTCGTTATTACAGTGTACTCATGTCAGTACATTTTAATGATAAGACTTTGTTTTTCATAACAAACTATGTTGTCATATCGCTATGTTCTGGATAAACTGGATTGAAGTTTTAACATTTTTCCCCCTTTCTCTATTACAGCTATATGACCAGTGACTGATTGTACATAACCTACAATCTCAAGCATGTGGAAGCATTCGTAGATTCTGCTGGTTACCACTCAAGAATAGGGTATTTGTTAGAGCATGAATCTCGTTGACGTGATATGCACAGAAAAATGTAAGTTTTTAAGATTTTTCATTAATTAGAATCTTTTAAAACTTTAGTACCTTTAATGGTTCAGTGATGCTCATACGTTGGAACAAAGCAGAACCGATCAGATAAGATGCATTGTTAATTACGGCTTATACTTACCGTCCGCGTAGGAGCAATTGGAAGTGACGCTGTAGTATAACCTCTCTTGCGTTTGCCAGTCTTTGGATGTGAACAGTTGCTTGGGTACTGACGTCTGTCGCAGAGCGCCGTATCATATCGCGATTTTAATTGCGTAATATTTGTTTAACGCATGTGTCGCTTGTGCGTTACGGAAGGTGACTTACAATGTACGTACATATAGTTACCGAAATTTTGAGGTTATTGGCATGCATAATTATTATAGATAAATGAAACGCGTTTCGCATTCCTCCATCTTGTGTGATAATTACGTTTCTTAGTCGGTTTTCTATTTAGGATGAAACTGCCGTTGCACTAATAACATGATTGCACTGTTGTTTAGTCTAGTCACAAACAAAAAGTCTCACTTGAATCGCTTTTAAAAGATCCCGCCGGAATTTTCCGTCGAATGCGGCAAAGAAGCTCGGAATAAAGGACAAAGGAAAGCGTTCTCCTGTGTTTTGGGCGTTGTCGTTTTAGAGATGCCACAGGCGAGTCATCGTAGGGATTTGTGGATTGTTATTCGGTATCTGTGATATTACGTCGTTCATCCGTAGTTCCAAGCAAGGCGGTTTCAAGCTATCGACATGTCTAAATCTGTATTTGCGCGGTATATGTGGCTGAATATTTGTTTGATGTCGTGTGTTTTGTACTGTCAAGGTTTAGGCTTATTAACTGGACCACCGCGACTTTATGTTTTAGAGGTAAATGTTAACAGGGAAGTTAGATAGAATACGATAACAGCTTTACCATTATCTGCCAACGCTGCGAAATTTTGACTGAATTTGGGGGTTATTTATGGTTGCTAGACTAAACAGAAGAATCCAACTTGTCCGTCGTAAGTGGTCACCGTATTTTACAGTTAAAACGTTTTATAGAGTCTGAACAAGTACTTGAATACTCGGTACACCAGAATGAATGAATTTCCTAAAGATGTCATTGTCTTGTTTTTATCGGAATGATTTTGTGGCGAATGGGAAATTTAAAGAAGCCCTGCGTGTACTTTTGTGTGCAGAAGTGAATGGATAGTGAAACCCCACAGGTGATTCCAGCCATGAATTCCTAGTCATTCGCAAAGGTACGTTACTGGTGAAAACACTGAATTGTTATGCTACGTATTCATTTCACGACATATTTCGTGTGCATTCTTTGCACAGACTGCATTTTCTAAATGTATACTAGAAAGATCATGTCAGTCTGCATGTTACATCTGCAAACTGAAGTGATATTTTTATTTTAAGTTAGTCATTAGAGTTTAACTAATAATAATAATTAAAATTATACTGCAGAAGGTGAAATAGTAGGACAGATTTTTAAAATTATACTGCAGAAGGTGAAATACCAACAATGTTTACCATTTTACCACAGGCCTTATTCTATGCAGCAAATTATTTTGTAATATATCTTAAGACAAGCGAAGAACATTTCATTATAGGTTATGTTTTGCCAATATATTAAGGTTTAAAAAGGTAATAATTTGTGGAATAATGTGTGTGTTTAATATTTAACCAGATCTTTTCTGTTAAGTTTACTGTAATGAGTATTCATAATGGATAACTATTATGAATGAAACAATTATGCGTATTTATGTAAGAAGTATAGAAATCAGTAAAGTGTTATGATTATCATCAATTGCATGATTTTCTTAAAGCCTATTAAATATAGAACACTCAAAGAAACTTGTTATCCATGTTAAAGTTGTTTGATTCTCCATCAGAATATTTTATTTATGTTCACAAAATATTAATCCTTCAATCTCTGTTGCTAATCGTAACTCATGAAAATGAACGAGGGGAGTAACGCGACTTTGTACCGCGCTGGCTTCTCACCACAGGTGCCCGGGTTTGTGCCCATGTCGGTTCATGTGGGATTTTTTGTGGACAGAGTGGTACTGGGACAGGTTTTTCTGGTACTTGTGGGTTATCGGGACACATCGCTTTAAAAATAGGTTAGGTTAGGTGTCATTTATTGAAATAAAATACAATAACATTCAAGTATGTGTCATTTATCCACACACATTAACCTAACCTAACCAACTTAACCTAACTTAACATAACCTAATCTATTTTTAAAGCGATGTGTCCCGATAACCCACAAGTACCATTTTTCTACGAGTCCTACAGTTTTCTCATGTCAGTATAATTTCACCTCAGCCATATTCACTCATCATATGAGGGATGGCCAGAGAGTACGTTTAGAGGTCCAGATCTAAATAGACTCACCTAATTGCAACAATGATAACAGTGAAGCTACTCTGAACTCTGGCACAAGATGTAGGTGGGTTATAATGACGGATAAAAGATCCTTAATGACCCACAGTGCAGGAGATAAGACGGGCAACATCACCATTTTGTGAATGTTAGTCGAGATAAAAATCACAATGACCATGGCCAGAATTAAACTCCATTTGTTGCAATTCACCTGTCACGTTATTGAAGTTTGACGGCCCTGCACAATATATTTTAGACGCGGCCGACATAAATTCACTTCACTTGTGCAAACATTTAAGTTTAAAACAATTCTGTTCAAACAACTAAGGAAATTCAGTGATTTGTATGTTATCTTTGCTTAAATCTTGATGGCCACTGTTGTGTATATATTTATAATTCATTAGTCCAAGAATCAAGTTAAAAGAAAAAAGATGATGGGCTGCTGATGATTTTTTACTTAGTCACAGGAAAATTTTCAAGTCCACTACACAATACTGTTTTACAGTGTCTGTTGAAGCTTCGATGGAACATATTCTATCTGTTCGACCGTAATAACATTTGGACCTACTGATGGATTTTTGTGTAAGTAGGTGTGAACGTCGTGTTGTTAGAGGTCTGCTAAGCTGACGTGTCTTTAATAGTGAAAATTATGGGAAGAATTGTCATCAGCCTTCGATATCTTGGGCCCTGTGGCCTGTGAGAATAAATAGATAGCTTAATTATGTAATTAATTTTTTGTGCTTGTGAACCTTTTGATATAGTCTGCAAAATTTTAAGGAAAATAGTCATGGTAATTTCTCCTCGTAACTTGTTTCTTTATAGCTGTCTCTCTGAACATAAGTAACTTGCTTGATGTTTTAGGTTTGAAAGTAAAGTGGGCCATAATTTTACACATGGTAATTCTTGAATAATAGAAGTATCATGTAATCAAATTTCATAAAAATCTGTCAGAGGACTCGAAATATGTGTTGTGTATGTTTGAAGTTCATTTAGAACCCTAAATGGCCCAAATATAAAGCAGATTCAATCATTAGGCCACTTGGGAACACCAAGCATTTATTTACAAAATTTGCCATCAAGAGTATGTATTTTCTTTCAACCCTTGTTTATTTCCCTATTTGAGCCCTGTTCAAAATTCTAGGTTAAAGTTATATGACGTAATTGTATCTTCTTCTTCTATGGCTCTCTGATCCGTATTCGGTCCATGGCCTCCTCAATTCTCCTCTTCCATTCGGTCCTCTGTTAGGTCCGTCTGTCCGAGGCTTCGATCAAGGTTTCGAAATGTCTTCCTTTTTACGGTGCAAGGTTGTTAGCCTTGCGACCAACCCCCAACCTGGAGGACCAGGGTACCTGTCTTAGTCTGACCTCTCCCCCTCGACCAATCTGGCTAGGGAGGCCCTACCAGTAGCTCTTGGGGTCACTGAGGTACTCAGACCCCACCACGACGACAAGGTGCAAGTACCATTAAGTGGGGACATAATTGTATGCCAAGAAGAATATAGAAAATGACTAAAGAAAGAGGGGGAAAAGGAATTAAAAACTTTTGCAGGAACATTCCTGCCATGACTTTTGTAATAACTCGAAAGAACAATATGATTAGAGGTTTAATTATTGTTGCTTCAGTGGTGGTTTCAAGCCGTTCTTCTGTCGAGTAACGCTCTGGCATCGCTGACCATTAAAGAAAACACCGAAGAAGGCCTAAACAAGATGGCGGTTGCTTTAACACAACGCGTGTTCCGCGGCCCTTTGTACTGTGCTTGTGTGATGGGCGATGACAGTAGTGTGGCACGGGACGTGATTGGAACGGTAATCGCAACTATCCCTGTTCCTGTCAGTGGAGGGAATTGCCCTGGGTTTGCTGGGGGCATGTTCATAGCACAGGATGCTGCCAGTGTCATCACTAGTGTCGTTACAGCTTCTCGGCACTTCCATCGCCTGCTGCTGCTGGTGAGCTCTTGATGTGAAATTGTAGCGTAATGAGATCCTTGCAAGCATACCGAATCAGTACCCAGATTTTGATACCTAATTAATTATATAAAGTTCCAGGTATGGTGAATTACATTGTAGCGTGTTCTTAAAGTATCAAAAATGGTTGTAATGATTTTGTGAAATTTGTAGCTGTTTTTTATATACCATTGAAAACAAGGTTGTGTAAGCTTTTATGTTTCAGAAGACAACTACGCAGTTGGAAAGTGTTGTTCTTTTACTTGAAATAGACAAAAGACGTGAAAAAACATTGGTCGTCTTTTGGTTTTAGTTGTCATTTATTCTTGTTGATGGTAATGAACATTTAAGAAGAATGTATTTTCTCCATTTTCAGTCCTGAAGACGGAGACAGTACATTCTTTACCTTTGATAATTGTAATGAACTTTTGGGCTTTGTAGAAGGCTGATAATTTCTTGTTCTGTGAATGGTTGTTAAATTTTTTTGTGTCTCGTCCATGGAGTTTGTAATCAATACCTTTCGCAGTGAAATTTTCAAATAATTTAATGCTGTTGCAGCAATATATGTCAATATTTTTTGCAGATCCCAGGCTCATTGCAGGAGCTGCTAGATAAAGCACCCCTATTTAGAAACATTTCATTTGAAGTGGTGGCTGCTAACTGCAGTTCAGTGTTCCATCTGACTTCGTCACATCATCTCAGTTTCCAACGTCTGACAACAGATAGCGACACAGTGCAGAGACAGTTACCAAACTTACAAGGCCGAGTCCTTCGTGTGTCCACTTTTCACTGTCCACCATTTTCCTACCGCAACAGCTGGAAGAACATAAATCACGGTGGCTCCTTGCCTAAAGGTAAGAGTAGAGAAAGCTTCGTCTCCAAATATCAAAATCAACAAGTTTTCAGGTCAACTTCAAACTTTTAGAGGTGGGTAGATTTTGTGCACTTTGTGTAAAGAAAACATAGAAATTTTGAAATATTTGTGAGAAGACTCTTCTTCTTCTGCTTCCATGGCTCTCTGGTCCGTATTTGGTCCATGGCCTCCTCAATTCTCTTCCATTCGGTCCTCCGTTAGGTCCGTCTGTCCGAGGCTTTGATCGAGGTTTCGAAACGTCTTCCTTTTTACGGTGCGAGGTTGTTAGCCTTGCGACCAACCCCCAACCTGGAGGACCAGGGTACCTGTCTTAGTCTGACCTCTCCCCCTCGACCCATCTGGCTAGGGTGGCCCTACCAGTAGCTCTTGGGGTCACTGAGGTACTCAAGCCCCACCACCACGACAAGGTGCAGGTACCATTAAGTGGGGAGAAGACTCTACCTACATGCAAATATAACGAGTCCTCTGAAAGATATTATATTTTATTATTTTCATAGCAAGAAATCTTGCTCTAATCTCATTCCCTATATTTATCTGATAACTATAAATTATAATACAGTATATTGCAGCTAATCGGGGCAGCCGTTTATTTGGGACAAATCTTAACGAACAAACCTTTTTAACTCTTTGCATGGAATTTTGCATAATCGGGGCAGCGGCTTAATTGGGCCAAAGTGTTCTAGTCTCGGTGTGTCCCTATTAACCACAATCCACTGTACTTTACGAGCATATTAATTTTATTAATTACATTCAGGTTGTCAGTTAATGTGCCATTACATTCACACTTACACTTCATACATACTTGTACGATTAAATTATGCAGTGTTCAATAAAATCTTCTCAGGCGATCAGCCGCGTAAAGTGGTTAAACAATAAAACCGACGTTTCAGTTACCGTCTCTGTCCCCATCATCAGGGTTCTGATGTGACACCAGAACCTTGATGCGGCTGATCCCCCGAGAAGATTTTATAGACTTACGTCGCCCTGAAAGCTTCAAAACATATATTATGCAGTGTTGTGTCTTCTTGTCTGCAGGGGTTCCAGATGGTGTAGAGATGGCTATATTCCTTGCGCTCTCCAGGAGACTTAACTTCACTTGGCAGATGAATGATCTTCACGATGCAGATGTGTGGGGTCACCGAGATGACAATGGCACCTGGTCCGGTGGGATTGTGGAGAGCATGTCACAGAAGTTAGCCGACATTGCTTTTTGCGGCATATACGTCGAAGAAACAATAATGCAAGAGATGGACCTCACCATCCCTTGGACACATTACTGCCTCACTTTCCTCGTTCCGAGAAGCGCTCGCGGCTTCCGCTTCGCGTTCCTTAAAACCTTCCAGCCCCTTCTGTGGCTTTTCATCATTATAGTGACTCTTGGGACTGCTGTCGTAATGTGGCTGCTGTCACGCTTTGAACGAAGTAAATATAATTATTTAATAATTTAGTCTATACCGCAAAGAAATTATAACATTTATCCATTACAAACATCTGTTGGTTAATTCTGATTTTAATTAAAATAATTGCTATTTACGTCTTTCGACTGTTAAAGCAGGTGGTACGTATAGTCACCACTGGGCTTTAAAGGGTTAAAGTAATACAACTTTTGCAACTCTAGCTGGTATGTGTACTTTCGCAGGGCCACGAGGCATAATCGAGACCGTCCTTACCGCCGTAGGCTTGCTGTTTCTTTCAAGTTTCCCTGAGCAGCAGACTCGCTTAGGAACCTTGCGTCTGCTGATGGCCTTCTGGTCTGCCTTCAGCTTGTTGCTGACGACTGCTCTGTCGAGCGGACTTGTGTCACACCTGACTCAGCCTGCACCTACGACGCAGCTTAACTCAGTCCGTGACTTGGTGGAGTCTGGCTTATCTTGGGGCCAAGCCTATGAACAAGACTATTCAGCCATTTTTAATATGCAGGTGTTGGATTTTGTTTATTTTATATGTTGACGATAAATTATTAATAAATAATTATTGTAGTGTATGTGTAAGAAGAATATTTTTAAATCTGGTTAGTTGAAGGACAGAGATTAAAGAATAAAGTATTTTCTGGTTTATATTGATCATTTGTATAAACATTTGGGCTAATGGCAGAAACGTCAGTTTTATCATGTTCTTCCATAGTTTTCCATTCTTCATTTCTTTCATGTTTATTTTCCTCCTTTCATTGTAACCTGTTCCTGATTGAACAAATAAGTCCGTGATATTACCTGGGATCTTCTTTATTACCATTAACCTTGTATGAAATTTTTCTTATTTATTACTTCACGCTTCATTATACTTTGTCTTCATGTTTTTCATCTCAGTTCTTACATACATCATTCTTTCCTATTGATTTGTTTAATTAACTCTTGCTATCTCCTATTCCTTTATTATTGATCCGTTTTCCCACTGTACTTATTTCTCTACGTCTCAAACTGAATGTCCGTAGATTTTAATTTGCTGTTGTTTATTTCTCTGTGCTCGAAGCCTGTGTTTCTGTGATATGTTAATGTTGGTAGACTGGTAAAGAATGCTATTTTCAGATTTTCCTTCAGACGGTTCACGACTGCATGATGCGTTTCGTTCTACAGCCTTTTCTCGCGAAGATTCCGTTGCTCACATTTTTTATTTCTTCAGGATCCCTGGCATGCGCAGTTTGCGGACCAGTTTAAGTTGGAATCTAACCCACGTGACAGAGTGACTCGTGTAAGACGAGGTCACTATGCCATTCTAGGTGGAAAACTTGATGGTACTGCGCCCTATTTTATGGAAGGAGACACTCTGAAAGACACGGGGCTGTTGTCGCAGTTACGAGTCATGGATGAATGTCTGATTCGTCAGTATGCGGCACTGGGTCTCATCAAGGTGAGACGTTTGATTACGAGTCGGATGGCAATTGATATAATTAGGGCAATTAAACCTCCTAAATCATTGGGAATAGATTGTGAGTTGTCTTATCATATCCTAAATGTAGACTTTGTACGACTTAATTTTTTGAAAGTCGTCTGTCATTTTTGTAATTATAATTTTTCTGAATGTGTTTGCTCAAAAATATTAGATCAAAGAAAATGACTGCAAAATTAAAAGAAATAATCTTCGCAATATGTTGAAACAAAATGGAATAACTGAATGACAAAATTAATGAGCGTCAGACAGAGAGTAAGAACAAAAATGTTGTAGATATAAAAATGAATTTCTAAGGTCTGCCAACCTATAACTAATTTGATGTAAGGTATGGATAGTAGCTTTTTGTAATGTCTGCAGTGTTTGGAATATGCGGAAAAATTATTCTAATCAGTTATTAAATATGTGTGTGGTTATGTTCCGAGATTGTCTAGAATAAAGTTAAGAGCGGACTGAAGTGAGAGGGAGTGAGGAGCTCCGTAAATAATATTAGGAAAATTAAATCAAGGAGAATGAAATGGTCAGGTGATGTAGCGCACACGGGGGAGATGGAACAATGTATATAGAATTTTGGTCGGAAGGCCTGAAGAGAAGACTACCAGGGACAGATGAGAGGATAATATTAAAATGAACATTAAGAAATTTGTTATTACAGCTATTTATAAAAAGGTTCCCAAATGTAGTAATTATTGAGGAATGTCG